TATTATTATTTTTAAATGAATTAATAAGTAGCTTTAAATTTCATCATTTTAATTTCCAAAATTATAAAAATCCATTGGTATAACCATGTAAACAAAAGCTCTTTGCGATTCTCAATAATTTTAAGGGTATTAAAAGGTCCTTAATAATTTTTAGAAGGGTAAAGGAATCCTAAGACCAAAAAGTTGATGAATCATTAGCCTAACATATTCTCTCTCTCTGGACTTATTTTGAAGATTAAAGAAAAAAAGTTGTTATCCAGCATTAGCACAACAAAAACTCAGCTCACAGCTGAAAGAAATTGGTGAGGGCAAGAAAGACACTTTGCAACAAGCTTAAGGAATTTTGAAATAATATATGTTTGAACTCATTGAGATATACACAGTCTTCTCCTTTGTTAGTTTGGTTTAACTTCACTTGCTAAGTGCTAACATGCTAAGAACACATTTTTAGTGACATCTGCCTTTGAGGAACTTAACATTCTTCTAAAGTATATGTGCATACACACTAATATATTCTATATAAAGAAGTATGTAATGAAGACAAAGGTGAGAGGTTCAGAAAAGTCCTCTAAGAAAATTTAAGGAAGGAGGTACAGGGAGGGGAGGACTCTGTTTATGAAAAATGTCATTTCTGAGCTATACCTTGATGGAACAGAAAGATTCAGAAAAGAACAGATAAGCAGAAAATTAATTCCAAGTATTAAAGATAGCCTGCAGGGAGAAAGGCAGCTCAATGAGTTCAGGGAATAGCCAGATCAGCTGGAACAAAGATGGTGCAAAAGAGAATAATGTGAAATAAAAGTAGAAAGGTAGTTTTCCACCAGGAGCAAAATCATGAAGGGCCTTAATTGAAAACCTAAGAAATTTGTGTGCTATGCTATAAGGACCAGGAAGCCATTGACATATTCTTATCAGTGACATGGAATAACATGATCAGACTTGTGCATCAAGAAGATAATTTAGCTGTTGTTCCATGGGAAGGTGAGAGAATGGAAGCAGGGAATCTAGTAAGGAAGCTATCATAATAATCTAAGTAGGAGATTATGAAGGCTTGAACTAGAGTAATGATACCTTCAAAAATCAACCTATATATGCTACATGTACATAAACATATATGCCTTGTATTTCTAATTGATAAAGGTCTGTGCACATATCAACAAAGAAATAAAGCATACTGGCAAACATATTGTTGCATTCAGCAAACAAATTCAGAAATTCAGCAAAGGTAGACTAAGGCACATTTTCTCTAAGCATGATAACATTTATTAATGGGACTGTACCTGTTAATAGAATGGGTCAATGGATGCCTCAGTTTAGCCAAAGACTCCAAGATGGAGACTCAGCTCCTTTTTATAAGATTAGAACAAAGAACAAAATAGGATAGGTGAGAAAATAATACAATTGGTTATAGGGTCAATGACATCACGAGGTTGAAAACAACATGATTGGTTACATAGCTGAGGCATGGGGTATGATATGATTGATTGGAAGTTGGGAATAAGAGGCTAACAGCAACTCCTTCCTTCCCTCCTGTGACTAAGAAAAGTTCATTCTTTGAGTCTACCTGCAAGGTCAGAGACAGTGTACCAGGCATCTTTGAAGGATAGCTTAGTGGTGTAGATACTGGACCAGACTCACTGATGCCCACCCACATCCCCCAAAGACAGCAGATTTCCTTGAGGCAAAAATAGAACAGTGATTAGCATGAGAACTAGATTTCTAAACTAAACTTATTACAGACCAGCTGAAGTTCTGAACTCAGTTCAGAGACAAAAGACCATGACTTAGATAGTTACAGGACAAAATCAGTTAACTGTAAGTAGGATCAATAAAAATGATACAGAATGAATTTAATCCTCTCAGTATCAACAGACTGATAAGCTTAAGTTACATGGGTCCATATATGTATATATAATGAGTACAATTTTACTTTCTAATAGTAGTCAATGTTGAGCATTCAGTTTACATTGAGAATAACCCATAAAGTAAATGACAATAAAATATCATAGTAACTTTGTTAGGAAAAAAAAAACTGGTAAAAAATTAAAAGCATGTCTGACTTTAAAATGACATTGAGAGGCAATGTGGGTAGAGGGGTGGGGAACTGAATAATTTCCCATACAAAGAAGGAAGTCACTGTTACATACCACTCTAATATTTCTCTTTCATATGATGATATACAGTGTGACCTAGTTCCCTTCTATACACTGTGAAGCCGCCAAAATCACGCTCAAAGTATACAAGAAAATGGACCTACCACAATGAAGCCAACAGATGTTTGTTTCTGAGATGAGCTCTTTTAGTAATTCTTTCTTTCACAAACCTTTCTTCATCCCAGGGGAGGAGTATGAGATCAAAATTTAATTTTAAACCCCAGTCAAGGAATGCTTGTTTTGGGGGAGGAAACAGGTGGGCATGTAGTGAAACTTTCATGAATATGAAGGAAAAGCCTTAGTCATGTTTCATACAGTTCTTCCCCCAGAGAACACCAAATGTCCTATTGTTTTAATCAAGTAATAACGCTGATGTCACATATTCTAAAAGTTAATTTTGTTCATGGCCTACATTATTCAATGGCTTATTTTAAACCTTTCCTTGAAATTCTATGATGAGATCTGGTTACTATTAAAACAATGGGTGACCTCCAATGAAAGAATATAAAGTTCTTTGTAAATCCATATGTGTGTGTGTATGTATATGCTTTGCAAGCCCTTAAGCGATATATATGTGACATACATATACACATTCATAATATATATGCAAACATATCTATATCACATCCCAGTATACTAACAACCTCTCTCGACTAAATAGATTATATATTATTTATATACATATGTATATTTAGGAGGGAGACAGAGAGAGAGAGAGAGAAAGTTTGCTGTTATTACTTGGATACAAGATAGGCACTAAACCTATGATCTCATCCAGCTGATGGATTCCCAAGCAATGAAACTCTCTTTACCAATACAGGTTGGCATCTTCTCTAAAAAATTATACTTAGAGGGTTGCTTAGAGCACTTAGAGGTTAAAGCAATTTGGCCAAGATCATACAGGCAATATCCATCAGAGGTAATACTTAAACTAAGATTTCCTGTCTTGGAGGTCAGTTCTCTATCCACTACATCGTGTCGTCTCACATACACTATGATTAATACAAGCATTTACCGTCAAAAAATTAATGAATGTTCTCTGGTTATTGGGAACTGCATATCAGGATTCTCTAGTCCTTGAGCTTTAGGATTAGGGTATGTTTGTGAATGTCTAACATATTCTGTATATTTTCTTCATACAACTTAAACTTCTTTTCTCGTCTTATTTTGGAGATGGACAAAAACAGCTTGCCATCAGTGGCAAAAAAAAAAGTCCTTCAGGTTATTGCTGAAAGAAATTGAGGAAGGCAATAGGAAGACTTTGTAACATTCTGGAGACATTTACAGATCACCTGAACTAAGGAACTAGAGATCACTTAAATCTGGAAGTGACTTTAAAGATGATTTAGTTCAAACGTTATCTTGCAGATGAAAAAATTGAGGCCTAGAAAAGTGAAGTTATTGGACAAAATCATACAGGCGGTAAGTAGTAGAGATGATATCCATTAATCTACATAAACATTTGCAACATGACTATAGCAAAAAATAAAATTTCTACATCTAAGGAAGTCACCATGCTAAGTGATATTTTTTCTCATTTCCCTATAAAACCATGCAGTTTCAGCATGTTATTTGAAGGTTTATTTGTTTCCATGGTAACTCCCTCAATAAAAATGTTAGTATTCATTGAATATAAGAGCCAGAAGGACCTTTAAAGATCATTTAGTCCAACCCCCTCATTTTACAAATAAAGAAACTGAGGATCCTGGAGAGGAAGTGTCTGGCCCACGGTCACTCAACTAGTTAGCAGCAAAACAAGGACTAACACAAAAATCTCCTGAATTGCAATCGAGTGTTCTTCTTATGATCATATTTTATCTTCCATTCCATTACAAACCTGTTGACAACTATGAGAAAAATTGTTTTGCATAAATGTTTATGCTTTTCAAATATTCAATCATTTAACTGAATTCATGTTTTTTAAGATTGAATTTAGTCATTCTTTTTCCTTTTCATGCCCAAGTATTTCACTGGTGTGGGCTTAATATAGGTGTTAGCCCAGCTGCTTATAAACCATGTAATCCTAAAAGAACCAACTGAAAATTTTAACAATTTAGTTCACCAATATCCCTTAAGCACCTGCTATGTGGCACTAGCCTAGGTACTTAGAATACAAAAATAAAAGATTGCCAGTCCCTACCCTCAAAGAATTTTTATTCTGGAGATGGGAGAAGAGGACACGAAGATATAACCAGTTGCTTTAGCTATAGGATGACCCGAGTAAGGCAAGTCTGATTTTTCAGCGAATTGCCTAACTCAACCAACTGCTTTGTCAACTTGAATGCAAATGTACTATAGATAATATGAAAGCCTGAGTTAGTATGTTGCCTCGAATCCATATAATTATGTGACCCTTGGCAAAGCAATTAACGTTTTAAGGGTGTCAGATGCCTTATCTATAAAATGAGAATAATAATAATAATAAAAATAAAAATAATCCACTTACCTCATTGGGGAGGGATCAAATTGGGAGGATCAAACGAGATCATGTATGTAAAGTGCTTAATAAATCAAATGTTCCTATAAAATTGTCAGCGCACATTATTTCACAGATATGCAGAGACAATAAGAAAACTTTCGACCAGTAACATGAATACAACAAATGCACTTGTTTGCAATAAGCTAACCATCATATGAATGAGAAATATAAAAATACAAAGTGACAGAAAAAAAATCTCCTCTTCTCTATTTCTGTCAAAAATTTTATTTGTCTATTCAAGGGACCTTAAGAATTGAAATACATTATATTTGTTCCTGTTTCATTTTCCTTCCAATAAAAATGCTCTACAAGATCAACATTTTTCATTGATGTCACCCTGTAATTTAGAAATATAATACAGTACATACCAATTGACTCACAGCCATTGTAGATGATGGGGAAGCAAGATTTGCCTGAAAAAAAATGTAAATATACAGCATATTAGATTAAATTATAATTTTCCTTAAAGAAAAGGATAATATAAAAGGAGTATGTTATATCCATGTTCATAGTGATTTGTGGAGGGGGTGGATGTAAAAATTTTGTTTTCAAAAAGTTTCTAAATTTAAAATCCATAAGAATTGCTTGACTCAGGACAAGAAAACTATTTGGACTTTAAATGTAATTCAAATTAAAATTTAAGAAAAATACATTGAAAGTTAAGAAAATATATATATATAATTAACCAACAAAAATTAATTAAGTGCTTATTATGTTCTATGTGCTGTGCTAACCACTGGAAATAAAAAGAAAGGTATCCCTGCCCTCAAGGAGCTCACATTCTATTGGAGGAGACATGCAAATGACTAGATACACACAAAATCTATATACAGAAGAGATGGAACTTAATCTCACAGGGGAAAGTCCTAGCAGCTTGGTGGGGAGGGCATAGAAAAGACCTCCTACAGAAGGTGGGACTTAAATTGAAACCTGAAGGAAATCATGGAGAGGTATGGGTGAGAAGGGAGAACATTCCAGCCGTGGGACAGAGGGGTGCAAGCAGTGCAAAGGTACAGAGAAAGGTACAGAAAGGCTGTTGTATGTGAGCAAAAACTGAGGTAGCTGGATTATAGACTGTGTGAAGGGGGATAAATGCAAGAAGACTAGAAAGGTAGAAAAGGTAGAAAAGGTAGAAAAGAAAACTTGTGAAGAGCTTTCAATGGCAGTGTACTTTATATGTATATGTATGAGAGAAAGACAGAGAGAGAGAGAAAGAGTGTGTGTGTGTGTGTGTGTGTGTGTGTGTGTACAGAGTGTGTGTGCATGTGTATATGCAAGGTGTGGGGGGTGTATGAGTGTGTGTGCATACAGGGTATGTGGATATGTATGAATGCATGTATGTGTACAAGGTATGTGTGAATGTATGTATATAGGATCTGTGTATGTGTGAGTATGTATATGGGGAATGTATGAGTGTGTGTGTGTGTGTATGTACAGGGTGGGTTATATGGATGGATGGGTGGGTGTGTACAGAGTGTGTGTGCATGTGTGTATACATGGGGTTGGTGTATGAGTACGTGTATGTGTGGGTGTATGGATGTGTGTGTGCAGAGTGTGTGTGTGTAAAGACTGTGTGTGTATGGATGGATGGGTGTGTATACAGTGTGTGTACAGAGTGTGTATGCATGTATGTATACAGGGCATTGGTGTATGAGCACGTGTATGTGTGTGTGTGTGTGTGTATGCAGGGTGTGTATGTAAAGGGTACGTGTATTCAGGGTGTATGTGCATGTCTACATATAGAGTATGTGTGTGTGTGTGAGTGTGCATATGGGGGTATATGAGTGTGTGTATAGGGTATGTGTACATGTGTGTATACAGGGTGTTCCAATGTGTATAATACACATACGTCTGTACATATATATGTATATACAAATAGGGTTTAAGTGCTTAAACCTTAAAATTCCACTAAGACTTTTGGGGAAACCTATTTGTATACACACACACACACATATACACATATACATATACATACAGACATATGTGTATTATACACATATACGTATATATGCATGTGCTGTACATGCGTGTACATATGAAATCTCAACCAGGATTTTTTGTGGATAGATTATATGTGTGCGCTTAATTATGTTTTTCATTTATTTGTTTGCTGTTTGTAATCTCACTAAAGCAGGGCAAATCTTTTACATCTCCCTAATCAATTCCCTCTCCCACTCTCCACAGCAACTCTTCCGAACCTTTTCATTCCTCCTCATACTACGCACAGCTGCCCCTCACTCCATCCTCTCAGCTGAGAACTTTGCCTCGTGTTTTGTGAAAAAGATTAAGGCCATTATCTCTTCTCCCCTCCTCCTAATCTCATATTACTCATATGCATTCTAATACTATCTTCTTTATCACACAAAGAGGTAGGCCTTCTTGCCAAGACAAACCCCTGCTGTGAAGGCCTTCTTTAATAGATGCCTCTATTTCTTTCCCTCTCACTCTTTTCTTAACACTGCAGTTTGGCTTGCAGTCTTATTAAATTGAAGCTGCTCTTTCCAAAGGTATCGGTGATCTCTTAATTGAGAAATGTTAGGGCCCTTTCTCAATCCTCATCCTTCTTGATGTCTCTGCAGACTTTGCCACTGCTAATCACCCTCTTCTTGATATTTTTTTCACTCTACGTTATTGTGACACCGATTTTCCCCGGTTCACCTCCTAATAGAAATATTGCTCCTCAATAACTTTTGTTCCATATTTATCCAGGTCATACCTATAGGTATCCTCCAAGATTCTCAGCTGGGCCCTTATCTTCCTTCTCTAGAGAATACTATTTTGCTTATGATTTCATCAGAATCCCCATGGATTCAATTGTCATCTCTGTGCAGATGATTCTCAGATCCATTTGTCCACCTCTAAACTCTTTCCTGACCTCCAGTCTCAAATCTCCAACCACCTATTCAACAACCCAAAGTGTACACCTGATAGACATCTTAAATTCAACATGTCCAAAACAACTCATTATTTTTCCCCTCGTCTTCAAAACTTTCCTATTACTGATGAGGATACCAACATCCCTCTAGTCACTCAGGATCACAATCTAGGTTTCATCCTCTATCCCCTCTCTCTCTTTTACCCCATCATATTCGATCATTTATCAAGTCCTGTCATTTCTCTGGTGCAACCCTTCATCACCTCATGCTTAGATTATTACAATATCTTGCTCTACATCATTATTACAGATTATTACAATTTACCTGCTCTAGTACACCCTTCCATCAATAGTAAAATTGATCTTCCTAAAGCATGGGTCTAACCATGTTACCAACTTTCCCCGTTCAGTGAACTGCAGTGTCTTTCTATTACCTCCAAGATCAAATATAAATTCCTCTAGCTTTTAAAGCCTTGCAAATTTATCCTCTTTTTATCTTTCCAGTATTCTAGCATGTACTCATTAGTCCAGTGACAAGGTCTCCTTGCTGCTGTCAGACATGACATTCCATCTCTCCTGAATCTGAGTGTTTTCGCTGGTTATCTCCAATGCCTAGGACTCTGTCTCCATCATCTCTGCTTCCTAACTTCCCTGGTTTCCTTTAAATCTGAGCTAAAGCCCCACCTTCTGCAAGAATGCTTTCCCACTATTCCTTAAACTAAATACCTCTTCTCAAAGTTTATCCACAATTTGTCCTATGTATGTGTTGTTCATATAGTTGCTTCAATGTTGTTTCCCCCCTAAATTGTGAACTTCTTGAAAGTAGGGGCTATTTTTTGCTTTTGTTTTTACTCTTAATACGTAATAGTTTCTGGCATGTAATAAGTACTTAATAAATGCTTGCTGACTGCCTGAGTCATCCTAAAGGTAATGGGCAGACATTGCAAGTGATTTGTGGGGGTGAGGGAGGGAAAGGCAGACGTGCTTTAGGAAAATCACTTTGGCAACTGAGTAAAGAATGCATCGGAGTGGGGAGAGACTTGAATCAGGTAGACCGAGCAAGCTTATAGTAATACTCCAAAGGAGAGGTGATAAAGACAAGAATCAGTGGTTGCTGTATGAGCAGAGAGGAGACATAGGAGAGACATTGTGAAAGTAGAAATAACACAATTTGGCAGTGGATATAATAATGCAGAATTTAATGACAATTGAAAGTATTTGACTGCAAACTAATAGCATTGTTTGTTCTTAGTTCATTATGTTTATAGCTATAGCTCATTATGTTTCTGATATGTTCCATTTGAAAGGATAAACATTATCATGCCCTATGACAAATTGACCTGTGTAGGTTGGCCTTCCTATGAGATGAGCGGGAAATAGTAATAACTGCAGTACTACGAACTCTTCTCAGATGTCTTAATGGAAACACTGATGTAGTATCTGCAACCTTGCTCACACTGAGTATATGCATTGATTGTTTCCTGTGCCTCAACTGACGCCACACTTTCTGGGAACCATAACTGTTCATCTCCATTACTTCATTCAAAGGCAATAAAATATCTTTGCTAAGTAATGACTAATCAAATACTGGTGCAAACTAAGCATTGTAATTCGAGATACAGTTTAAGGTAGAAAACTCCTTATTTTACTTTTAATCCTTAGATCTCACCAAAGTTAACTCCTCAACCTACTCAAGTGATCCCATTCCTTCTCATCTCCTCCAATAGATTACCTACTCTGTCATTCCCACTCTATAATTTATTTTCAATCTTTCCCTGTCTACTGGCTCCTTCCCTACTGCCTATGAACATGCCCATATCTCCCCTAGACCAAAAAAAAAAAACCCTCACTTGATCCTTCCATCCCCATTTCTTCTCTTCTTTGTGACTAAACTCATTGAAAAGAACATCTATAATAGGCACTTCCACTTTCTTTTTTCTCACTCACTTCTTAAACCGTTATAATCTAGCTTTTGATCTCATCATTCCACCAAAATTATACATTACCAAATCCAATGGCCTTTTCTCTATCATCATTCTCCTTGACCTCTCTAAAGCCTTTGACATTGTTGATCACCCTCTTCTCCTTGATACTCTCTTCTTTCCAGGTTTTTGGGACACTACTCTCTCCTGGTTCTCCTCCTACCTATCAGACATTTCCATCTCAATCTCCTTTTCTGGATCCTCATCCATGTCATGACCTCTACCCATAAATATCCCAACAAGCTTCTAACCTAGGCCCTCTTCTTTTCTCTCTCTCTACAACTTCACTTGGTGATTTTATCAGTTCCCATGGATTTAATTTCATCTCTATGCTGATGATTCTCAAATCTAACAATTGTGCCCTGACCTCTCTGCTACCCTCCAATTTCACATCTCCAACTGCCTTTCAGACACCTCAAACCTTAAACTCAGTATGTCCAAAACTGAATTCATTATCTTTCCTCTTAACCCCCACCCCTCGTAATTTCTCTATTACTATAGAGGGCAACACCATTCTCCCAGCCCTTCAAGCTCAAAATCTAACTGCCATACTTGA